GCACAATATCAAACTACACAAGACATCGGAGTATCAATAATTAGAAAACTTTTTATTGAAAGAGAGAAATTTAAAGATAAGGTTCGTCAGCTTCAGTTAGATAATGCAGAGCTCAGAAGTCAGTTAGAAAGCCTTCAACAAGATCTACGTTATGAGTCATATCTTAACAATAGAAGAATTGAAAGTTTAGAAAATCAAATTAATATTTTAGAAAACCGGGAGGAAATTTTTTGCGGAGAATTAGAAGAAAGAGGTGAATAGATCTATTTCTATATTATTCAAAAAATGCTATTTTATTTATTAATTTTATTTACGCAGGATACCGTACAACACCGAGATTAAGACGTGAGGATGCGTTTCTCGTCGAAAATGAAAATGAAATGCAAATTGATATGGAATAGTAAAAAAAAAAAAAAAGATATATTAAATTTTTTGACTTGTTATATTCTTCACGTCAAATATAATAAAGTTTTCTCAGAATATTATTTTTTTTCATCATATGAAAACTAAATATTTATTTTAATGTTCAACAAGCCGGCCTATACCCTGTATTTCCGTGCTCGTTGAAATCAGCCTATCTGTTAAAAATCATGTGGCGAACCGACCTATACCCTGTATTTCCGTGCTCGTCATCTTTTGATAGGCTGATGTTAAAGATTCTGCGTAGAAGATGCAAAGTGAGTATATATGAATAATAAAATTAAACATAACGATAGATAGCTTCCCTTTAATAATCGCGTTTAAGTTTCATGAACATGAAAGAGATGATTTTTTTTATTGCGTGTTTGTTCGACTTATTTATACATTTTGTGAACGTTTCAAATTTGGAAATATTAAAACGTAATTGTGAGTAAAGATTCCTTATTTCAATATTTGATGAAAAAAACGCCATGAGTAAATATAGGGTTGGACCGCGGGTGGAGTTGCAGTTGTTTCTTTGTCTTTGTAATCTAAAACATGTGATGATCAGAATCAACAACCAATCAAAACGGACTTCCGTTATTTTTTAACTGTACTATCGCGTAAATGTATAAACTTTTCATGTTCAATGAATTACCAAAGTTGTTTAGAAGAAACAGTCGCAAAAACGCGTCAAGTACTCAAGGAAAGATTAACAGATCGTTCCGTACCTGATGTACTTGTAGGCTTAGAGGAACAATATACGTAAGTTGAATTAAAAACTAAGTTTAAATCTAAATTTATTATTAAACAACAAATAAATAATTCTAGAGAATTACTAAATTATATGAATCGGACTGTATCTTTGGGTGAAAGCAATACTTGTATACTTATTGGGCCATCCGGCTGCGGGAAAACTGCGGTATTATGTTGTTCATTATTTCATGCTTTTTTTTTTTTATTTCTACGTTCGCGTTTTATATGCAATACGCGTTAATTTCACAAATTTTTTCTTTTTTCAAAAAGTTGGTTAAAAAAGCTGAACAAAGTCTAAATGAAACGTTCGATGGTGATTTTTATTGTGTGAATCTAAACGGATTATTACATACATCCGATCAATTTGTACGTTATCAAATTGGTTTACAACTCGGACAACAGATTAAAGGATTTGTATGTAAATTTTTATTTTTTTTTGTCTATAATTAAGTGACATGCATTTCTTTTAACGTTTTAACGTGATGATTTTTTTATCTCAGAGATCAGATGGAGATGTTTTCAATCTTTTGAAATCCGGATCTAGTAATACCAAACCTATATTTATAATAATCTATAATTTTGATGCATTCGCGAAAAATTGCAGTCAATTATTTGTATATAACATATTTAATATTGCAACAAGCAAAAATTGTCCAATTTCGGTAATTGGAATTACTCGAAAGGCGGTATGTACACATCAAATTAGCAAATTTTTTATCTTCATTCTTTCGGTTCATAATATACTTATATATTATTTATTAGAACGTGTTCAACGAACTTGCTCAAAATATCTTATCTCGAAATTCTTATTGTCACATCGATATAGATCGACCTTGCACTATTGAAAATTTTGCTGAAATCATTAAAAATTGTTTAATGATTGATGAGACAATAGTTGATAACACTGAATATTGTCATGAGTTCAATGAAAAAATAGAAGTAATTCAATAGTAATTTTTTTTTATATTGGATAATTTATAATTTTGTAAAAGATTTAATTATTCATCTTGCGCTTTGATTTTCTTAGGAATTATTTGATGATGAATCTTTCTATAATCTCATAAGTCAAACATTTAATTTTTCAACAGATATTATTAGGAGTTTTTATAAAATATGTGTAAGTTTGATTTATAATAAGTTACATTGATTATTTAAGTCTCAAAATAATGGTTAAAATGATTTTTTCGATTTAAAATAAGTTTGATGCGGTCTGCAAATTGACCGTCGATTCTCCATTCCTTTCACCGGAAGACTTTTCAATATCAACTTTGCAAGACTGTGGAAATATAGATACTGTTTTAAAAGGTATTTGTTATGTGAAATAGAATATGAAATAACTTATGAAAATGATCTAATATTTTTTTAATGCCATTGATTTTCTTTTTGATAAAAAAAAAATTTCGTTTTTTTTGTTGAACTAATAGGACTTACGCAAAATCAATTATGGTTATTACTTGCAATCAATTCGTTAGACATACGTTTCCAAAAAAAAACTTTTAATTTTACAATGGTTTATGAAGAATACAAGAATTATATGAAAAGCTACGCTAGAGAATCAGGTAGTACATATAGAATGAAGATATGTAAAGAGCACGTTGCACTCGCTGAATTTGAATTTTTGGAATCGCGTAAAATTTTACATTGTGTCGATGAAAGTAAATTTCAACAAAAGCAATATAGAATGATGAAATTACTGTTGTTGCCAGAACAAATTACAGATGCCATTAACGATAATGAAAAATGTCCGATAATGATGAAAGAATGGGTGAATCGAGTTTTTGCATTATAAGTTTATTATACAAGATGGCGCAGAGGGTAAACAGACTAGATTTTGTGCGTGTTGAATTTGTCGCTATTGATGTCATAAATGATCATTAATAAAGCTATTTTCTTATTGTAGATTAAGGGTGTTCTCAAGCGCCTAAATCAATTGATCTGAAATAAAATTTTAAATAGTCGGGGGCCAAAAAAATTGATCA